CAAACGATAATTCAACCTAAAAAAGCTTTAGATGTTAGGAGAGATCTAGAATAAGTTTTCATTCTCTCAACACAATCAAGCCAAAAGAAGGACAAAATCCCCTTCAATTCAAACAAGGAAAACAAAGAGTGGAAGGAGACTGAATGCTCTGCCACTAGGACATTTGTATATTGCTAGTAAGGGATTTTACACAGGAGTTATTCTGATATTGATAATTGACTTATAACCAATGAGGACACCATACACATCATGATGACATGGTTCACCTTTTTTTCCATTTCAGCTAGAAGCTGGGCGGCACTAGAGGCCAATCTGGTGGTCCAGCATTTCAACAATACACTCATCTCTCACTATTTCTTTATTCTGCTCTTGATCCTTTTTGATTTCTCTGATGTCTTAACCAACTCCTAAAGCTTTTCATTTCTCCACTTGCTTAGTGATAACCACGTCAGTGACTGATATGAGAAGAATATATAACTTTGGTCTTGTTTAGTTTAAGCGCACTCATATACATGACATGATCCCCTAATCTCCAACAGCTTCATCTCTTCTCCACACTTCCAACCACTACTTACTTTTTCTTAAATCATGAAGATCAGAGGTTTGTTTGTCTCACTTCCCAACCAAATACCTACACAAGCACTATATGTGTGTGGATGGGAGCTTTGGGGTATAATTCTTTTAAACAATTCAGCACTTGGATCTTGTTGGCCCACTTTTCATGGATTACCTCTTCCAAAAGAAAAAGTTTATTAAACAATTATCGATTAATTAGAATTGATGGGTGACATCAATTAATCCATTTCTATGCTGAGAGATTTCCATAGGTTATATAAACCTTGGTTTTATAATATATGGCAACTTACGCACAAAGTTCAAAGAATCAATACGCATGATATACAAAATTGAATTGTATGTTACATGATTCAGAGGGGCGATAGTCTTAGAGTACTAACCCTCAAAAGTGCCCAAGTGTCCTACTAACTCGCAGTATTTAGTGTATTGGTGGATTCAAAAACTGATATGCATGATACTTTGAATTTTGCTTGCACATAAGCCTCCGTTTGGTAAGAGTTGAAAATACAAAAATAATCAGTACAAACCGATCTTGATATTTATATTTACTGTCATTTCCAACACATTGTACTCTTACCAAACACTAGCAAAACTGAATGAGAGTGAAAATATGCACTGAATCTATAATTGCATTCCTCCCAAATGATCTCATTTACAAACATAAAGGTGCCGACTAATCCAAGCCTATCTAACCAATTCGAGATTGTTCACTCTAGTAGAAAACCAATTTATTGTAAACAGACCAAATAAGACAAGGGTATAACTAGGGGTGGCAATTGGGTGGGTTGGGTTGGGTTTGGTTTAGATTGAGTTTCAACTCAATCCATCTAATCCGTCAACCTATTAATGACCCAGTTATATAAAATTAAATGGGTAGGGTTCAACCCAAACTCACTTTAACCCAATCCAACCTGCCCAAACCCATTAATCTCACATTCATGGACTTAAAAAATAAACTCTCTCTCTTAACAAATAAGTTGGTTATAGCTTGATGGTTATTGTAGTTATTATTTACACAAGTGGTGAATGTTCAAATTGCATTACATGCATGTTATTTTTACACAAGCAATGAAGCCATTTGACTATGTTTGGATTCCAAGTTTGACCGAACCACTTATGCTCAAACCGGTCAGACCAACTTAAACCACTTAGGTTCAAAGGTGGCTGAACCATTTAGATCTGGATCAATTTAGTCGGACTGGACTGGTTCAGTCAATGGTGAATTGACTTGGACCGGACCATATCAGGTCGGTCCCGAATTTGGGTTGCGGCGTGTGGGATATTGGTCAAATGGACGGTCCAGATCAGGCAAAGCACGCGAAGGCTGAATCATCTTGCCCAAAAACGTTTTGGAATCGGGTTGACCCGGATTGACTTGTGTTTGGTCGGGTTGGAGTGTGTGAATATTGGTTGGACCAAACAGCCCAAATTGGACAAAGCAAATGGCACTAAACCATCCCGCTCAGGGTCTATTTCAGATTCAGGTCGACCCGGATCAGTATATGTTGGATCGGGTGAGACTGCGTTGAATTGGTCCAAACTCAAGCTTGGGTCAAATTGATTTGGATTTATGTTGGGTGAAGTATATTGATTCAAGGCAAAACTAAATTTAGTTAATTATTAATAGAAAATTAATGCATTAATTATAAATTATTTAATTCAAATGAAGAAAATTAAAAAAAGGCTAAGAAATTAATACTTATATCTATAATGATTAACTCAATGGTTATCAACAACCCAACCCTTTTAAATGAATGGATTGAGTGGATTAGATAATGGATGGATTAGGTGGGTTGGATTATAAATTGCCACCCCTAAGTATAACATGCCTAATTAACTACACAAAATTGCATTGGCCTTAATACCATTAATAAATTAAATTATTAATATTATACATTATTGATAAAATGAACTAAAAATGAATTTAAAATTATACATCATAGAAACAGGGGTTTGGAAACTGGAATTGTAATGGCCTATTTTAAGTCCCCGCATTAGTTGAGAGGTATGAGATTCCAACTCCCATTCCTCCTCCCTCCTTGGGAATTGAGAATCTCAAGCATGCCAAAACAAAAAAGACAAGTGACTTAAACCCCACCTTCTTTGAGAGTTTTGACAAAAAAAAAAGAAAAAGAAAAAGAAAATCTTCTTTAAGAGTTGCGCATATCTTATGAAATCCCATACCAATTCTAGAGATTTTGATTCCAATCCTGACCTTGAACCAAACAGATCCTAGACTTGAACTCTTTAACAAATTTCTAAATTTACCAATAAATGCAAATTAGTTTTACATAAATAAAGGCAATTTTTTCTAAATATTACGAGATTGAATAGTGATAAGATCCGTGTTCCATCTAAAACAGCCACGCGTCTTAATAAATAAGACTAGTAATGATTCAACTTCAAGTTGAGGTCTATTATTGGCGGGAAAATCGACTTCTTGTTCCACCGTAATTGATTTTAATAAACCCAAGTTCCTTCCCTTAAGACATTAAACAGACAACACAACTAATAAGAAACAAACACTTGTTTCAAATACACTGCATCGGGAGCAAAAGCCAGCCAAGTGAATAAAAGAACTGATTGGGTAATTGCCACGTGGCAAAGTCACTTGGCAGCAGTAAACAAGTAAAGAAAGGATCCTCCTTAGCGGCAGATATCGACAAAGGAATACCAGAAGAATTAGGAGCAGTGGAGCACACGTCGGTAGATTCCATGGCAATGGCGAATAAAATATTAATTCTATGAATGTTAGCCAAGAGAAGGACAGCTAGCCATTTCGGGAGACGCTGTCAAAAGTCTATAAAAAGTCTATAGTCTATACTACTTGGGGGCTTCGGGAGCGACGTGTCTTCTCCGCGGGTTTGTCTTGAATGGAAGAAAGAAAGTGAGAGGGAGAGAGAGGGAAGGGAGAGAAACTTCCAAAATAGTTGGTTTGTTCGAAACGGCGCAAGGTAGGGAAGTGCGTGTGGTTTAAGCAGTTTACAATATTTCTGTAGCCGTTTTCCCAGCGTTGAAGCAAGGAATCAATTTTGAATGCCGTTAGTTTTGTAAGGACTTGGACCGTGTGAAATTCCTAAACTAGCCCTTTCAACAAAGGCGACTGACTCCGGAGTCTTTCTTGACCAGATGAGATGTTGCTCTGGTGTCTTCCTCTGAAAAAGACCGGAAGACCGAGATGTGCCTAAAATCACCCCACTGAAAACTCGAATTAACATTTGTTTGTAGTGCAATTTCATTTGCACTGGTGGCGCAAAATCAGAAAAGTTCTGTTTGTTTCTGTCAATGTCATGGATAAAATCTAAAGCAATGTAAAGTAAAACCCAAGTTCAGAACTTGGTCTTTTTTTTTTTCATTTGTACTCTCATGAATTTGTATTAACTATTTAAGGCATATGAAATTGCACTGCAAACAAATGGAAAAGACTGAAGATAGAAAGCCAAATTGTCTATTTGACGTAGGGGTCCTTCATCCTTGGATTTGGTATCGTGCTTTTCTTCTTTAAATTCATTCCATTTATGGTAAATACAAACCAAACCACAACAAGACCTAAAATCTAGAGGATTATGATTCTTTTTGTCACGTGGCAGACTCATAGAATGACACGATATCGTGTTAACAAATAGGCCCACCTTAACCTCCTTCCATGTGGGTTAATAGGTTCGGAATCTGACCTTCCACCCAACCCATTCCAAACGTAACATCATCAGATGGCATCCAGCCATCCACTGTTTGGACAAGCTTCGGTTCCAATCCAACCCAAATCCCATGCCCAGAATCCACTGAAAAGCCATCCAAAATCCAAAACCCATGACCTTAACTAAGAGACCAACCTAGGCATAAATATCTTAATGGATTCATAATCTTAACCATGAGATTTAATGGACCCACTCCGGTGAGCCGTTGCCCTAATTTATAGTCCCGGCCCAGCGGTAGTTTCATCAATAAATGGTTAGACTAGAGTCATCTTCTTGCTGAGTGGACCTTGGCCCATGTCATCATGTGCAATTGTGCACCCAAATTATGCATGTTCTTTCGGCAAAACTATCTACTTTATTTATTTATAAATTCCTTTCCAAAGCGCTCTTATCCAACTGTTGAAGCCACCGGTACGAAGTATATTTACTTAAAAGTAAGGGTGTTTTTGTCAATTAAGTTATAATGGTATTCCTGTAATTTAATTATATATGAGGGGTATTTCTATTTTGTGTACGTTACAGTCTGGCACTGGCAGGCTTTATACTCCTCGAAAAGCTCGGCTGGTGAACCAACTCAACGGCCGTTGGATCCGAATCCAGAATTCTAACTCACGTTCAGTTTAACCAATTCAACGGCCGGTTTGGTTAGGTTAGACGAGAAGAAGCAAGGAAACCCTAAAAACCGACGTTACTGCTACTCTTCTCATTTCTCTATAAATAGAGCGCTTCAGGTGCTCAAAGTTTGCCAAATTAGAGAGCCTACGGGCCCTTCTGAAGAGCAAGATTCCTCTTTTCTCCTTTTCCCTCTCTCCCTTTACGCATCTGTTTTACAAGCTTTCTCTCTCAACTCTCAACAATGGCGGCATCTTCTTCTAGAACCAGATCCAGTGGACCAGTCCTCTCCGTATCGAACGAGTTTCGTTGCTCGATCCCTCCTTCTCGAAGATTCTCTTCGTCGACTCTGTCGTCATCTGCATCGGCGTTCGCTTCCTCAAGTTCGAGTTTTTCCTCTCGATCTACTGGTTTCTTCCATAGATCGGCCTCCCCGACGCGCGTTAATCTCTACGGCCCCGCGCCACCGTCTCCGTCTGTTCGATTCTCTATTGGTCGTTCGATTTCGCCGAGCAGGTCGATTGCCGTTTCCCCTCGCAATCAGGTCGTGAAGAAGCAGAGCAATCCGTTGTCCGGTCCGTCTTCTCAGAAGAAAACTTGCATGTGCTCTCCTACAACTCACCCGGGGTCGTTTCGTTGCAGTCTCCACAAGAATTTCAACAACCACCATGCGGTGTCCTATCCGTCTAATCGGTTGAACGCGCGGCGGTCGGCTATGACGAATTCCTTAGTCCGGATCGGGACTGTTGAGGGCGATTGGGTTAAACGTGCCTTGGCTGCTTTGATCCGACCTTCTTCTCACCACCAGAGGAGAAGAGCGGCGTTCCAGCCACGGCCAAGCCGGCTTTCGTTTATGTCGAAGGCCGAGGGTTTATAATCCTTTAAGCAGGTTCGTTTATTATATTGCCCCTTACCCGGTCCTCCTATAAATGTTTTGTATTCTCAGTTTTCCGGTTCGGCGAAGTCAGATTCCGGCGAGATTGGTTTTGCAAACTGATGGGGAAAGGAAGGCGGATCGACTGACAGGTGAATAGGCAGATCTAAACAGGGAAACCCCCCGAATTTTTGTACTTCGGAGGCCCAAAAATTCCACTCAGGACCATCCCCCTCCCTATACTCCCCTTGTATATACAGATTTGCAGCCATTGAAGGCTATTGAAGGAGTTATCAGAGAGTAAAATTCCTCTCATTAAAACACAGCTAAAATTAAAAAAAAAAAGAAATCTGACTGGCAGATTCACCTCCATCAGAGACTAATTCACTAAAATTGGTTTAAGTTTGCAAGAACTGGTTTGGCACCATCGTCGTCATCATCTCTCAGTGGTTTCCGTGATCTTTGTTTGCAGAACGACATTCGCCATTCCGTTTCCCGTTAAGTTTCCCGTGTGGTTTGACGTGTTCAGTATTACGTGCATGCTATCTGGACCATGAATTCTACATACGTCGTATTAGTATTCGTATACATGGTTGCGTTTCGTGAAGGTAAAATTACGTATTTATTATTTATTATTTGTATTATTTTAATATTTTTTGATGATTTATATATGTTTTCTTTTCTTTATTGCAGCTTGCAGGTTCGTTGAAGACTTTCCTTAGTTTGAATATTTTGCTGGAGTTTATAAAGTGAGAGAACGAATCCTAGTGTTTTCACATTGAGAATTGAGATGAACTAAGTGTTTTCACATTGAGAATTGAGATGGACAGAACCAACCACCGAAGGGCACCTAAATTGAAATAAAAATCTAAAATTAACTAATTAAAAATTATTTAATAAAAATAAATTCTATAAAAGGGACCCACAAGAATTTCCTCCAAGACAACCAAGTGGAATCTTGTGTCGGATTTCATATGTGGGATCCGTCACCTTATTCCATTCAGTTGGTCGTTATTGCTAGAGAAAGTTTGATAAGGGCGAAATTAATAAATAAAAAAAGTATCTTGAATACATTAAAATGGATCAGTGGACTGGAGATTCAAATTCAAGAGGAAGAGAGCGCCAGCACCCTGTTTCTTCCCGAGTTCGGATTCACCGGAGGGAAGAGCACCCTGTTCGCGCTTTTTTTACTTTTAATTTTTATTTTGAAAAAAGAGTCTCGAGGAACGGAAAACATATCCTTCTTTGCCTGGACCACTGGTTATGTGGGACCCATTTATCCGAAACCGTTGGAAATTAGGATAGGAAGGCAGGTACAGGGGCGCAGCGCATAATTGAAGCGCTGCCTGTGTTGACAAAACCAGCGGCGGTGGGGAGAGTTCTGCGGGAGAATTAAGGCGGTTTCGAAGAGGTACGGTTTGTGTGAAGAAGATAAAACATGAAACATCCATGGCGCGGGGCCCACAATCCAACAATAAAAAGTGAACGGAGGGTGACCCAAATCTGCAATTATGTTTTAGCATTTCCTATCTTATCTGTCGAAGCCTTCGCTATCAAGGGCCTTGGCCTCAGCCTCATCCTGGTTTTTTGAAATGCCAACCCCTATTAATGACATTCCCCCTCTTCTTTTTTTGAAATTTCTAGACTTTGGTGCCCTATGGTTTTTGAGCTCGCCCTATGTTTTGCCTTTTTTTTTTCTTTATTAGGAATGATCCTCGTATTAAGTACGAGGTCATTAATTTGAATTATTTCAAAATTTTAAATTATTTATATTAAACATTTATTTAAAATTTTTATTTGATTTAAGAGAATTACCACATTTTATCTATAGAATGATTTCATAGTAAGGGGCAATAATTGTATTATTTAATTTGAAATTTATTATTTAACTATAAAAAATTAAATTAGAAAAATTAGTATGGACTTACATTTTGTAATTGACAATCTATTCTGACCTAATTTGTTTGAAAATTACTATTAATTTATGTTATTTTTATTATGATTTAAGAGATCAAATGAGGTTTTATTTATAAGCGATGACCCACTTTAATTGGTATTTATTATTTATTTGATAAATTTATTTTTAAAAGCTAAATTAGGTTATTTAAATTTAATTTACAATTAATAAATTATTTTATATAAAAGAATGAAACACAAACCATTTTGTATTAATTGTTTAGTCATTTTTATGAATTTTATTTATTTTTATTTTTATCTATTTAATATTTTAAATATTTTAAATTAAATTATTTGTTTAATCGTTACTTTTGAAATGGTTATATTTGAATAAAATTTAATTACTATCATAACATTTGAAATAGCCACTTTTTAGGGATTAAGATGGTATATTTAAAAGAATGGAGTTATAACATTTTTTTTTTGTGAGTGGATAGATTTTTCTAAGAAAGAGTTTAATCTCTTGTAAAATTCTATTAATTGAAATTTTATAGTGCCATGTATCTGAAGGGCGGGGCTCTTGCCTGAAGACCTTCCTTTGATAGATTGGAAGATCGTATGCGCTGCCGCGCTGGCACCTGTTCTCCTGAGACCTAACTGGTTTCAATGGATTCAATTTTGATCTTTTTCGGTAAAGAAAATCCAGATTCAGTGCTGAATTTGGATCCATGATACCCAGATCCCGTTCTCATTGGTCAGTGCTAAATTTGGATCCATACCCGGATCCCGTTCTCATTACAACACGTTGCTCTCAATGGTTTGAACAGGGGATTTAGCCATATAGGGATGTGGATGGGTCAGGCGGAGCCGCCAGAACCAAACCAAATCGACCAACGCCTGTATTACTATTGCATTTCCTGATTGTAATTGATTGGGTTAATTACAGTGGGGTTGAGAACGGTTTCGATTGTTCCGGACCAGTTAAGAACAAAATCGATTATGTGCTAACTTAAGAGATTGGTAGGTTAACTTTCAAATTGCATATTGAAGGTATCGCTTGCAATTATAAACGGGTCTTGTCAGGTCAAATCCCATCCGACTAATAATTGGTTCGGTTCTGGCCTTCTGGGCTGCTATTATAGATCTAATATGGTCTGGTTCGAAACTGGTCTATACATTTATTTATTTGAGAGACCCAAACCCGAACCAACCAGTTGTCAGCACCAATGGAATTGCTTAAAATCTGGTATCCTTTTAATTCAGTTTCCACCATGAGACACAGCTAGTTGTTAAATCTGGAACCTTGAGTTGAACTCTCACAGCCTCTGCTCCCTATTCTGTCTTGATCCAAACACAGCCAGTAATATTTAGCATCGTTACTTACTTTGCTATAGGTGTTTGTTATATATGTTGCTAATGGAAATCTCTCTCAAAATAATGGCATCAAAATATCTCAAACTTTTATTAGCTTCTTGGGAAACAAGCAACAGACGAATGAAGTGATTGCCATCCTTCCCAGACTGATACAGGTCCCTAGAGTGTTGCCCCACCCCATTTATGAGTTATCTCCTAAATTACTGTCCCGGGGCCAACCTGTTCCCTGAATCCTGATGGATTTTCCTTTGCTGAGGGTCCCTCATTTCATTTCAGGAGCCATCCATCAAATTGCCCTTAGATTCCAAGTTTCCGAGCATTGGAACAAGTCCCATCTAAGATTAATTCAATTCAATAGTTAAAACTTAAAACCAAGTCTTTTAATAAAAAAAATACTGAAAAGTGTCCTAGTCCTGGTCCACCCAGCTTTATTCCAATCCATCAACTGACCCTTCTGCTCCTGTAAATATATCTGGGACCAACACTTTTTCAATTGATCCATTAGGGGGGCCCCTCTCTCATACAACTATACAAGGGATGAAGGGAGACATTACACTGGCAAGAGATTCCACTAAAGTTCATAAAATCTCTTGTAGGTTGTGTAATCAAACAGCTGATCACTTTGTCAAGTAAGAGAAGAGAATGATGAAGGAAAAAAAAAAAAGAGAAAATCTCTGGCTTTGGAGCCTAATCTACATAAAGATAAAATCCCATGATCTGTGTGATTATGGTGAAAGTGTGAGATGAAGCCACGGGACACCACCTATTTCTGCTATTTGTGGCCAATCTAGATGGTTCATCAAACAGTGGACTCTTTTGATCAATGACGTGTTCATCTTGCAGTCCAACTCAGCCCTACACTACTCATTGCATCAGAAGAAGACGATTGCTTGGGACAAGTGGCAAAGTTTTCTGGGCATGTCATGTGGACTTCTCAAAACAAGCAGAGGTCCATCCCTTTAAGTAGATTGCTTTTCCTCTGTTTAAGTTTTCTCCATTTCACAAGAAAAGAAAATGCTATGATGTTGTTGATTACTAGAAAACAACACCCAGCATTTCCTTTCATATAGGGGCCACAAGTGAAAGGAGGGGTATTATGTAAGATTTCAACATCTTGGGCCTTATGTGGGCTCAATAGCCCAAAAAAATCCAAAGCAAGTCACATGACAAGGTTGGATCCTTCCCAACGACTCAGACCTTATCGGCTTACCTTGAACGCGTTGGGTGAAGCTGATTTATTAGCTACAAGCCTACAACCTAACACAACACAACATCAGCAGTTTCTCTGCTTTGCTGCTTTCGGTTACTAGATCCTTAAGTCGGTTGGAATGTCCACATTAAGCGTCTGTCTGCCAGCCCATTCAGTGATTGAAGGAAATAAAGAGAACTGGATTTGATCTCCAGACTGGCATAAACCTCCTCTGTCACTATTGCCCCTCATGTGAGAGGCCTGAGGCCTAAAATGGCCATCTATGAAAAATCATGATTTCCTTCGTCTTTCCACCACCATAAAGTCCATGTAACTTCAGATTAGGTCGATCAAGCTCTGGGCCTTCTGGCCTGATTGCTGATGACATGATCCAATAGTTTAGATGGTCACTCAGCAGTCAGCACCATGGTTTTTAAAACCGATCCAGAGACTGAACCAGTCAGGGTCCGGTTACCAGGTCAAACAGGCCAATCGTTTGAATTGAACTGCCGGACGATTCTAACAAAAAAAAATAAAAAAATTTAGAAAGGTCAAAATCGTTCGAATGGTTAACTGCTTGGGTCAGTGGTTTACTGACCAAAATCAATGATTTTTTGAGAAATCCCGATTTTGGGGAAAAATGAAACCGATCACCTGCCCTGTTCCTGATTTTTTCGGTTTGACTGTCTGGTCCATTCTGGTTTTGAAAACCATGCTCAGCACCCCTCCCCTTGAGGAGGCGCAGATTGGTGGATTCAAACCTGTGGAAGGGTTAGTGGTGCCACTAACCCTGTGGGACTGGATTCAATCCTCACACTGTCTTCACAATACTTGCAGTCATGCATTTGGAATATCTTATATTTTTCATTTACAGGAGAATGCAGGGCTGAATTCGAGCCGAATACTTGACTATTCGAACTTGGCTTGCTAAAATTGTGTTCGAGCTTAAGCTCAATTTGAGCTAGAGATTTAAGCTCGAGCTTGGCTCAGTTCAGAGCTTGCATGTTTCGAGCTTGGCTCGACTTAAGCTTGACTGTAAGCCAAATTTTTTTCTAAAAAATAAAAAGTATACATATAAAAATAATTTTTTTTTTATTTTATATACAAAAAAATAAGAATTATAAAAATTATTTATCATTATAAATAAAAAATAAAAATATTATATACAAAATATTATTATATAATAAAAATTATTTATTTTATATATGTATATGTATAAGTATAAGTATATGTATGTATATGATAAAAAATTATTTATTTATTATATTAGATTTATGAACCTCACGAGCTGAACTTTATTAGGCTTGAACTCAGTTTAAATCGAGTTGAATTGAACTTTTCACGAGCTG